CAGTCTGGCTGAGGTGTGGGACCCCGGAGGGGAAGAGGGGCCTGGGGTCCTCCCYGGTGGGGTCCTGAGCCCCTGAGGTGGAGGAGCAGGCGTCTCCAGGGAGGGAGGAGGAGGCCGTGTGGACACGAGGGCCGGCGGGGAGGGCAGGCCCTTCCTCCGGAGCCGCCCTGGGAAGTCCCGCCCAGGCTCATCCTGGGGCCTCYGCAGCCCGCCCTGGGCCCAGCCACCACCGGCTCAGCCCACGCCCGCTGGGGGCACCGCGGACGGCAGAGGGGGAGGGCGCTCACCAGCTCCAGGGCCTCCTGCAGCTGGCCCAGGGTGTCCTGGGCCCGGAGGCGGCTCTGCCTCAGTTTCCCCAGGGAGTGCTCATAGGCCAGGTGGCGGATCTTCGCCGACAGGGAGCCCAGACGCACGAAGTAGCCCTGCTGCCTCCTCTGGTCCTCCACGGAGCCCACCTCTGGGCTCTGGGCCTCAGCTGCCAGCGCCGCTAGAAGACAGGACAGCGACAGGGGTCAGCGTGGCTCCTCCCAGAGCCAGCTCCTCTCGCCTGTCAGCCCACATCACAGAGGGGCCCTGAGGCGGGAGGCAGGAGGCAGACCGTCACCCCCAGGCYGCTGCCTCCCGACTAGCCCGACGCCTCTCCAGGGCCGGTCCGCACCCGGGCTGCCCACTAGGCCTCGGCCCCTCTTCCCAGGGGCGYGGCCCGCGTGCTCTGCTGTGCTCAAGAGAGGACTGGAGAAGGGTCGTCTCCTGGTCGACGACCCCAGACCAGACAGGAAGCTCGGGGACAGTGGGGCTGGGGAGCCTGTCCACGGGACGAGTGCTCGAGCCTGTGCCTGCTTCTCCAAGACCAGCCAGAGGCCAGGGGCGCTCGCTGGGTGTCGGAGGGAGGACACAGCCACGGAGACGGGTTCCAAGGCTCGAGACCCCGGTCCTCAAGCCTGTAACCCGAGATGCCCTGCTGGGGTCTGGGTGTCCTTCTGCAGAAGGACAGGCCGAGGGTCCACTGGAGGGGGCTGGGAGGGCAGGCCTGGGTTCGAGTTTCCTGCTGCCCCACTGTGTGTCCTCGGGCCAGTCCCGGACCTCTCTGATCTGGACACTGCGGAGAGGCTCACTGGGCAGGAAGGTGGGGGGGGGGCTGGGGAGGGTGCTGGCCTCACCGAGCTCCTCCTCCGACATGGGCAGGAAGTGGTCCACCAGCTCCTCGGACTTGTCCAGCACAGTGTCCAGGGCGTGGCTCACAGAGCGCTTCAGCTCCACACTCCAGCGGCGGCTCCGCCAGGCCAGGTCCACCACGCCTGTGACACTCCGAGCCACCGCGTCCTTGGCTGAGGTCACCACCTGGTGGGAGGGGCCCACTGCAGGTGCTGCCCGTTTCTGGTCCTGTCCCCTGCCCAATTCCCTGGAGCTGGGACTCAGAGGCCTCAGACTCCTGACCCCGGGCCTCGCTTTCCCTCTATAAAATGGCCCCCGGGGTCCGCGGGCGGTCACCAGCACCCACGGGGGGCGTGTGAGTTGGTGCTGATCACTGTTTCATCTGGCTGGTCTTCGGGAACTGGGGCTGAACTCGGGGGCACTCCGCAGCCCCGGGGGTGTTTTATTTAGAGACAGGTCTCACTGAGCTGCTCAGGGCCTCACTACGTTGCTGAGGCTGGCTCCATCCTCCTGCCTCAGCCTCCTGAGCCGCTGGGATGACAGGCCTGCACCTGCGGGCTTTTCTGCTGGGGCCTGTYTCCGCCTCCTTCCCCTCTGCTCTGGCCCAGCCCACGCAGCCCCGGGGCCCTGTGGTCTGGGTACCGCGTCCGAAGGCTGCTGGAGAAGGGGCAGCTTCTCTTCCACTTTGTCCAGGCCCCTGCAGGCGAGGTCATTCACCGTGGCCACTGAGGGGAGGGTGAGGAGAGGGGGACACAGGCAGGGATGCAGAGGGAGGGCGGGCTAGAGAGGAGCGTGGGGGCCGTGGGGGACACGGCAGGGGGCGGGGGGAGAGACTGGAAGAGATGCAGCTGAGAGGCCCAGCTGGGGTGGGGGGCAGCTGTGCCGGCCCCGAGACGTCCAGAGAGCCCAGAGAAGCGGGTGGGCACCAGGCCTGTGGGACAGGGACCTGGAGGAGGCGTTGGACCCTGGGGACCCGGGAGCCTCCCAGCCAGCGGCCATCTCCCAGGGAGGGTGCGGGAGGGCCACCAGGCAGGGCCCGCCTCCCTGGCCCTGGCTCTCCCCCTGCCCCGCCCCTCAGCCCCAAGGTGACTTCTCAGCCATGCCCAGCGGGCAGCCCAAGGCCACAGCAGGAGAGGAGCTGGGGACCCAGGCCAGGGCAGCCGCTTCTGGCTCACATGGGGGGCAAGGGGTCTTTCTGCCCGTCACCAAGGGGGACCCCTGAGCTGGTGACAGGGGCCTGGGAGATGCGGGAGGTGGCGGCTGGGCCCAGGCTGTGGGGCTCAGGACAGGGGAGGAGAGGCCAGGGGACAGAGGTGGACAGGCAGTGGCCGCCAGGCAAGGGGGGAGGGGCCACAAGGCACCAGGTGGGCCGAGGGAGGTCACGTGAGGGGACAGGCAGGGTGGCGGACGGCCAAGGAGGGACCCCTGTTCAGGGGACAGCCCAGGGCGCGTCCTGCGGAGGGACTCACGCTGAGGCTGCAGGCGGTCCAGCAGCGGCTGCGCGCGGCCCAGGGCCCGGCTGGTGAGGCCGCCCAGGCAGTGCTCGGCCAGGCAGCAGGCGGAGCCCAGCAGCGGGTGCCTGTCCTTGGCAGCGCTGTAGGCCCCAGAGATGGCTGTGCAGGTGGTCCTGACCAGGGGCAGTGCCGCCACCCGCTGCACCACGCTCTGTGGGAAGGGGTGCCGTCAGGGGACAGGGGCCCAGCCACCCCAGAGCCCGCTGAGGGACGGGATGGGCGTCAGGGAGAAGCCTGGCGGCCCCCTGCGGTGCCAGCCTTGGTTCTCAGGAGCACCCAGAGTGCCAAAGCTCGGGAGTCCTCTGTGTTCCTGGCGGGCACTGGCGGGCACGAGGACCCAGCCATCACAGCACCGCCTCTGACACCTCGGCCCAGGTGCGGTTCTGGTGGGCTACTGCGGAGCTGTGTGAGCTCAGGCAAGTGACCTGCCTGCTCTGAGCCTCGGTTTCCCCATCTGTAAAGTGGGTTTCCAGGGCAGTGGGTGGTGTTCGATCGTGAGCCAGGGGACTGGCCAGTACCATATCCTGACAGCTGCCATTACTGTTACTGTGGAGAGTGACAGTGGACACAGGCAGGAAGGGGCAGCAGGGATGCAGAGTGGACGAGGGACTGCGCTGGCCAGGGCCAATGTCCTGGGAGATGGTCCCTGGCCAGGACCTCCTCACAGCCTGGGGAACCAGCAGGCTGCACCAGCCTCTCCGTGGCTCTCAACGTGCCCAGAATTGGTTCTCCCAGTGAGGGCAGGGTGGGACATCGGCCTGAAACTGACCAGGAAGTACTGTCCCCCTTGCCTCCCTGAGCCCCTGCTCCACRGAGGGGGCAGCCCCTCACCTGTTGGTCCTGCTCACACAAGTTGGGTTGGGGGGCCTGAGAGGCCTCATCCTCAGACATGGCTGCTGCGAACAGGGTCACCTGGGGACAGGACAGAGTGAGGGGACTCCTGCATGCCAGCACTCCCAGCTCCTGCCCTCCCTAAACTCGCAGAGCTGGAGTCCTGTCCACCTGGGCTGTGATGTGGGCAAATGGCTTTCCCTCTAGGGTTCATGGAGTGGGTGTCCTGCAGGGCACAGACAACACATAAACCCACAGGTGCACAGTGAAYTGCCACTGGTGACAACCTGGGCTGGAGAGAGACAGACTTGGCCCTAGTCCTGCCATTACCTGCTGTGTGACCATGGGCAAGGTCCTTCACCTCTCTGAGCTGTTTCCTCTTCTGTAAAATGGGGACGATCCCTACTGCCCCTGCCAGGGACAGACCTGCCTAAGCAGCCCCTACACACGCGGGCAGAGGTACAGGTGGTAGCTGCAGGATCCGGATCCGCCCACAGTCCTTTGGCAGAGGGGGGCAGGGTGCCCGGGCTGCACGCAACAGGTCCCCACTGCGCCCAAGGTCACTCAGCTAGCAGGGTCACAGCTCGACCTCAAACTTCAGACTGGCCACTTGCGGCTCTTTCCCCTGTTGCCACCCCTGCGCCCTCTGAGCCCTGGTTCCCTCCCAACTGGGTCCTGAGCGTGGGCCAACTGGGCCAAGGGTCTCAGCCACCTGTTCTGGCCCATCGAACCCCTGCCACACCGCCGCACTCTCTCCAGCCACCGACTGGGGGTCCCCAGCCTGGGGGACTCCGGGACGCAGGCCGCAGCACTCACCTGGTGGCTCGCAGCCTGGGACCTGAGCCAGGTGCCTCCGAGGACCCCAGGGCCGGCTCCAGTCTCGGGCCCCAGTCTCCGCCCCCGCCGGCTCCGCCCGCCTTATAGTGGCTCGGAGGCGGGGCCTCTTGGAACCGACCAATAGGAAGAGAGCACAGAGCACAGGGCCGGTCCATGGGCGGGGCTCCAGTCTACCCTCCTGGGCTCCTCCCCTCGCCTAGCACTCTGAGGTTGCCATAGTAATCCAGGGACGCCAGATGCCCAAGGATTGGGCTGCTGGCCTTGGCCAGACAGTGTCACCTGTCACCTTCACTGCTGTGCTGCAGGGACAATGGAGGGCGATTACAGCCTCCTCACTACCTTGCCAAGTGACCAAGTGAGCTTGGGCAAGTCTCTGATGATTTTCTTTTTTAATATTTATTTTTTAGTTGTAGGTGGACACGATATCTTTATTTGTTTTTATGTGGTGCTGAGGATCGAACCCAGTGCCTCACGTGTGCTAGGCAAGCGMGCCACCACTGAGCCCCAGGCCCCGCCCCTCCAAAGATTTTCTTTCTTCTTAATTTCGTTTGCACTGGGGATCGAACCCAGAGATGCTTTACTGCCCAGCCGGATCCCCGCCCTTTTAATTTTCTTATTTGAAACAAAGACTTGTTAAGTTGCTGAGGTCCTCGCCAAGTAGCTGAGGCTGGCCTCAAATTTGTGATCTTCCTGCCTCTGCCTCGGAAGCTGGGATCACAGGTGTGYACCAGGGGGCTCTGCTCCTGATTAAATTTGCCATTTAACTCAGCTGGGAGCCAGCAGCCCGTCCCTGGGGTCCACATATTTCCAAAGAGCAGACCGAGGCTCAAAGCCTAGACCACTTGCCCCGTGTCCTAGGACTGAAGAATCTGATTGAAACCAGCTGTTAGACTTCAGGTCCCTGCTTTTCACGGGGGACATAGCCTTCCAAGGGGACTGTAAAGCCTGGGCCCCACACTTCAGGATCCCCCAAATCTGACCCCAGCCCCCACATGCCCAACTCTGCACCGGCGGGGGCCCAGTCTCTGAGCCCTGAGAACATGCCCCTCCRACCGGCCCCTCCAGTGCCTTCAGTGCCCTGTTGAGCTGGCCCCGGGCAGGCGTCCCCTCAAAAGATCCCATGCCGGCATGAGGCATTGGAGACCTCAGCAATCTGGGACACAGGCTCTGGCAGGAATCCACCTGTAAGACGACACCCAGCGACTGTCGGGATTTATGGCCAGTCAGGGCCCCAGATAGGGAGGGAGAGTAGAAGCCACGGGGCTATCTGATCCCCAWGGCCATGGGCTCTTCCTCCATCCTGGGCATCAAGGGTGCAGAAACACAAGATTCATCTGATGCRGGCCAGCAGGTGTTTATGAAGTCCCTGGGGCGGTGCCGGGTCAGGCCAGCACTCAGAGARGCCAGATGTGGCCAGGACACCGCCCGAGGAGGAACCAGGGGCTTGTGGGAACCTGGGGACCAAGGGATGTGGGAAATGGAGCATCGGCATCCGGGGAGGGCGGGTGTGGGCGCAGGTCAGGAGGCTGCCAACTGGGCCCTGGGCGCGGGCACCAGTGGGAACCCTGGGGTCTCGGCCACCCACCCCGGCCCCAGGCCTCACGGGGACCCCGACACCTCCAGCAGCATCCGGCCCCTCAGGGCGTCAGGCCCAGCACAGCGCGTGTCATTCTGGGAGAACATCCTGTGCTTGTTGGCCACAAGCCAGCGACAGAGGTCATCCAGGTTTTGGTCGCAGACCCAGGGGTTGCCCGAGATGTCAAAGCCGTCCCCCATGTCCCTGGAGGGCATTCCCAGGGATTCCCAGAGCCCTCTGGGCACGCTGGACAACAGGTTGTTGGAGAGGTCCAACATGTCCAGCTCCTTCAGGTTGTGGAAGGCGCCGGCAGCCACCRTGGTCAGCCTGTTGTCACCGAGGAAGAGGTAGCGCAGGGCCGGCTGCTTTGCCAGCAGACGCTCTCCAAGGACCTGCAGCCGGTTCTCCTCCAGGTGCAGCCGCTCCAAGCACCGCGGGCCCCTCAGGAGGTCAGGTGGCAAGGTCTCCAGCTGGTTGTCCCCCAGGTCAAGGGTGCGCAGGGCCCCGAGACTGGCCAGCAGCCCTGGGGGCAGCGTCTGGAGGCTGTTGGAGGACAGGTCCAGGTGCTCCAGGGCTTTCAGGCCGAGGAGCCACGAGGCCTGCAGGGCCTCCAGCCGGTTGGCCTTCAGCACCAGGACGCGGAGCGCGGCAGAGGCCCGGAAGAGGCCGGCGGGCAGCTGGGTGAGGTTGTTGTGGGTGAGGTCCAGCACCTCCAGCCGCCGCACAGGAAGCAGCAGCGTGKCGGGCAGCTCCTGCAGCCGGTTGCTGGCCAGGTGTAACTCCCGGAGGCCCGCGGCGCCGCGCAGGGCGCTGGCCGGCAGCTGGGTCAGCGTGGAGAACTCCACCACRAGGTGGACCGTGTCAGCCGGGAGGTGCGCGGGGAACCGGGCAGGCGAGAAGCAGGAGACGGTGCTGCCCCCAGGGGACGGCAAGGTCACGCATGCTTTGGGGCTCTGTGTGACGCCCTGGGCCAGGGCCACCAACAGCAGTASTAGGAACAGGGTTCTAGAAAGAGGGGGGTCAAGGCCGCCTGAGCTTAGGCAATCACAGAGGTGCTGGTGAGCAACAGCGGAAACGCCCCGCTAGCAACAACACCCGGACCCTCCTCTGCCTCCCGCCACCTGGCCTGTGCCCTCGCCTGGCTCAACAGGGCTAGGRCACTGCAATCACTTCCTCCTCCTCTCCCGGCCTCCTTCTTTGCCCCACCCCACAGCTGCCAGGAGGGAGCCTGTTCCAGGGGGAATCCTCAGTCTGTGTCTTGGGGTTTCTGAGCTGACTCCTGCATGTGCCCTACCCCATCGCCGGCCCAGCCCTAATGGGCTATTAACTGTTCACGGTCCCACTTGCTAGTGTCTTCTGATCCAGCTTGTTTTCTGGGTCAGTTCTTGTCTCCCTAGTTGTGTGTTCTGATGGCAGAGCCAGTGAACTCCTATTCAACCTACAAAGCCCTGGATCCAGTGCCCCTTTTCCATGAAGTCTTCCTGCCCTTCCCTACAGGGCAGGAGTGCCCACTCTAGCCTCTTCCTCACTCTGTCTATTTGTGACCAAATAGGGTTCGGTGGTCTTTGATCTGCACCTGAAAACAATTCATGGCTCAGGTGCCAAGAGGGGATCCTGGACATGGAAGTGAGTCCTGCTTTGGGCAGGTCTGGGGATGAGGACTGGGTCAAGCAGGGGGTGGTTTCTACTTGGTGCCATAACCCTGGGAGGCTTTGGGGGACTTCTCCTGCTCCTCCAGGCTTGGCCCGATGAGCAGACATCGCCTGGACAGCCTCCGTCCACGGCCCCAGGTCTCTCCCACTACTTGCCCGACCGGAGGCCCCTTGGTTTTGCAGGTGTGTGCAGGTACGGGGTTGGTCTGTGCCAGCCGCTCGGCCCCCGTGACTGTCGGGCTGGGACAGCTGCCTGTCTCTACACAGCCTGGCCTTGGGCCCGCTGGGGTGCACGGGGGACCTACCTCTGCATTTGCTGCCCACTCCAGGGGGACATGGTGGCTCTTCTCTGGTCGTCCTGGGTCTCTATGGCCTGGGGAAGTGGCATTATACCTGCTTGGACTGGGGCGGGGGACCCAGTCATGTGGAAGGCCCCACCCATCCTGTTCCCGTTAGTGCCAGAACCCGAGGAGCAAGCGGGCGGGGCGGGGGGATTGCGAAACYGCTTCCGGGCAGCAGCGTCTGCCAGCCCTTCTCCCACCTCTGGCTTCTAAACCCAGTTTTTCTCCCCTGACTTTCTGTTTYTGTGGCACCCAAGAGTCTCTCGAACTGAGTCCCACTTCCCCCAGCCCAGGATTCCAAGGGTCAGGACGGCCAGGTGCCACCTGGCGGGGGCACCACCTGGAGGGAGTCGCCACGTCCTCTTTCTTTTTTAAAATGAAGAGGGGTTCTGTGGGGGTTCTGATTTAATCAGGGAGGTCAGTAACGAGTAGTGTCAAATAGCAATGGCTGGGGAGGAGCCCGGCTCTGGTGCAAGGCCCCGGCTCTGCAGAAGGGTGCAGGTTGGAGCAGTCTGTCTGTCCATGGGCAGGGGTGGTCTGTGCCAACCTGCAGGCCTGTTCCCCTGTGGCTTCATGAACAGGGAGGACCGAAGGTCCACCTGTCTCTGCACAGCCTGGCGTCCAGGCCTGCCCAGGGTGGAGGGGCTGGGCCATACCTCTGCCCTCTCTGTCCCCGCCTGGAGCACACACACGCTGCCTCTTCGCCCCGGTTCTGAATGACAGCTCAGCGCAACACGGCTCCGCTTGATGCGCTTAGACGGTGCCCAGCTTCCCCGGGGCTGGGCCTCCCACCCACAAAGCCAGACTCACCCTCCTCCCAGGGCTTTCTTAGCTATCTTGTTCCTCAGTGGAGACTGGCATGCTCTGTGTGTGTGTGTGTGTGTGTGTGTGTGTGTGGTGCTGGGGAAGGAACCCAGCCCCGAGCCCCTCGTTTCCACATCGATGCATCTGGGGGCTACACGTTGACCTTGGGGAACTGCTTTGGCTGCGCTCCACAGCTCGGCCAGGCAGGGCCACTTCCAGCCTTAAAACCAAGTTCCAAACACTCAAGTATGAAGTGCCAGCGCACCCGCGGTGCCTGCCATGGCCCTTTCTTCCAGCCCAGACACTCGTGGGCTGAGTTCAGCTGTGAGGGTGACCTAGGAGTCTGTCCTAGTGGAACCCCTAGGCTCAGAGACGGACCCCTGGCTCACGGTGGCAGCCCTGGTTGAAAGGCAGGGTAAACACTCAGGAACACATGGACCAGAATGACACAAAGACAGCAGAGGCCCAGACAGAGCCAGAGACTCAGAGCTGGACACCCCRCACAGAGTGACAGGCCCACAGAGCCGCTGTCAGGAGCGGACCCACAAAGACAGACACACAGGGCCGATAGAGAGCAGCTGTGGAGGCTGCAGCAGGCTCTGCCCTGCTGGTCTCCCAAGGCCAGGGAACTGGCCTGTCCCTTCCCATCCTGTGCCCAGGGTCCAGCCCCCAGAGAGAGCTGCATGGAAAGCCATGGTGGCGTGGCCAAAGCCCTCTCCCAAAACCAGCAGGTCACATCCCATCTTAAAATCCCCATAGCTCTGTGTCCCAATTAAAATTCACAAGGCCGGGGGAGGGGAAGGGGGACTCGGGGTCCAATGGACYTGAGGTTTCGGATGGGAAGTAGCAGCTCTGGACATGGATGGCAGTGACGGCTCACCTCCCCGTCCCCTCGCCCCCTCTTCCTCCTGCACCCACTCTCTGGCCACGGGCTTCTTGCACATGGATACTCTCTGCAGCCCTCCACTGGCCTGCTCCTCCGCTGACCTCTCAGTTGACAGGACACCTAGGAAGCCCTCCCTGGCCACTCCATACCTCTCCCCCATGTCAGCCTGCACCGTGTCCCGCTGTCTGTCTTGGTCATACCCATCACCAGCTCAAACACATTTTCCCGGACCCTGGCTGTCACAAGCGCCCTATGTGTTCAGACCTAGTTCACCACAGGCTACTGGTCCCCAGACTGGGCTTCGGGTCCTGCAAGGGTAGGGTCCTCGGGGCTGGGGATGTGGCTCAAGCGGTAGTGCGCTCGCCTGGCATGTGTGCAGCCAGGGTTCCATCCTCAGCACCACATACCAACAAAGATGTTGTGTCCACCGAATATTAAAAAATAAATATTAAAAAACTTCTCTCTCTCTCTCTCTTTAAAAAAAAAAATTTAAAAAAAAGAAAGAAAAAAAAGAAAGGGTAGGGTCCTCGCGCCCCAGTGGGGGTGGGCTGTACAGGTGGCGCACACTGAATGTCCGCTAAAGAAACACTCAGAAATGGGGATCCCCCTGGACTCCCYACAGTTCACACCTGACTCCCTTGGCCTGGCTGTGGGTGTCAACCGTGTCCCCAGTTGTCCTCAGCCACCTCGAGGTCACAGAGCAGACKCGGAGCCTGGGGGCCGGTGGTTGTAAACAGAGTTTTATTGATGGGGAAGGAGCGGGGAGGCAATCTCCAGAGAGGGTCTGGGAAGGGGCTGGCCACGTGGCATGCATGGTCAGCCGGAGGCTGAAGGGGAAGTCACAAGGGGTAGGGTGGCATGGGACTCTCTGACCACCCTGGGGTCATATTTACAGGGGGGCCCCACCCGCCTCTGCCGCCCCCCAGACCCCCAGCCCTTTAGATGGCTGCTGCCAGTGTGACTTCCGGGCAGGCTCTCCGTCCCCTGCCGCCCGGCCTGTCCCCGCTGCCCTCCACAGAAGCGGGTGCGAACTCCTAACCGGCACCTCGGAGGCCCCGGCCTTCCGGAAGCCGGGGGTCGGCTCAGCCAATGCCCAGGCGGCGGGCGCCTGGCTCACACATAGACACACACACGGCCCCGCGGCCCACCCCGACGCACACGCCCACCGCAGCCCACAGGCACGCACACGCACGCCTCCCCGGCCCCCTGCACACGAACACGGCATGCACACGCACACACACCCACACACGCCAGGGGCCAGGGGCGAGGAGGGACCTGGGGGGGCTTGGGTCTGCAGCTGCGGCCCCTCCCGGCCCGCCGGAGCCCGGCTGCCACCCCGAGAACGGAGTTGTGCAATTAGTTAGAAAACTGCAAAAGAAACCAAAATCCATGTGCAGGCCGCCCCGGGGGGTAGCCAGTCCCCCGCCAGCCCCCGCCCCCAGCGTCCTCGCCCGTCGGGGTCCGCGAGCTCTTGTGCTTCCGTGTGGCCGAGGGGACCCCACGAGGGCGGGGCGGGGCCGGGCCCCCGGGCGCTGGCCCGGGCCTGGCCGCGGGGCCTCTGGCTCGGTTCCCGTGGCTGCACTGCGAAGGCGTCGGGCCCGCCTAGGGCACCGGGGGCGCAGTCCTGTCCCCCGCCCCATAGGGGAGGAGGTGGGCCAAGTCCGTGCTGGGCCGGGCGTGGCGGCCGCGGTGGCGGTCGCCGGGCCGGCCCTCGCCGCTGTTGAACGTGTGCGTGCGGCGCAGGGCGGCGGCCGGCGGGCCGTGGGGGCCCGGCCTCCGGAGGCTGCCCGTCGGGGGTGGGCTCCAGGGCCGGGGGAGGCCGTCGACGGYCGAGGCGGGGTCCAAGGGGCCCGTGGGCGCCGACACCACGCGCCGGCGGTCCGGGCTGGCGTGGGGGGTGAGCGGGAAGTCGCCGTGCGAGGCGCGGCCGGGGCGCGGGGCGCAGAGGCGGCCGTCGGGGCCCGGCTCKCCGGGCGCGGGGGGCTGCTCGGGGGCGCGGGCCGGGGCCAGCAGCAGCAGCGAGGACGAGGCGGAGGCGGACAGCAGCGCGGGGCCGTGGTCCCAGGCGCGCGGCGCCAGGGCGTGCGCGTGCGGGTGCGGGGTGGGCAGGCGCTTCTGCGGCAGCGGCGTCTGCTCGGGCGTGGGCAGCAGCCCCGAGTCCAGGTCGTGCGGGCCGCCCTGCAGCAGCGTGGCCTTGGCCCAGCCGTTCTGCATCAGGGGCGCCAGCAGCGCCTCGGGGGGACCCCCGGCGCCGCCGCCGCGACCCCCGGCGCCCGCCCCGCGGCGCTCGCCCAGCCGGCTCACGCTCAGCACCGCCTCGCCGCCGCCGTGCGCCAGGATGGCCTCCTTGTCCTTGCGGCGGGCCAGCTCCCGCCGCTCGCGCAGGCCCACGAACCAGCCCACGCTGAAGCCGGACACCACGGCGCCCACCACGAAGGCCGCCACCGACGAGGTCACCAGCAGGTTCACGGACACCAGCCCGGCCCGCTCCTCCGAGAGGCTGGCTCGCAGGAGGCCTGCAGGGCGGGTGGGTGTGGCCATGAGCAGGCCCGCAGGGGGGTCTTCTCTGGTCGCCACCGGGTCCTTTCTTTCTTTGGGAGGGGGCGGCTCTCTAGATTGAACCCAGGCCTCCCACCACTGAGCGGCGCCCCAGTCCATTTTATTTTGAGACAGGATCTTGCTAGTTGAGGCTGGCCTCAAATTGCCATCCTCTCGCCTGGACCTCCTGAGCAGCTGGGATGACCCGTGGCGCCACACCTGCCTTCTCTGTCCACCTCAAAGCCTGTCAGTCTGTCTGTGGGCATCTGTCCCCAGTACTTGCCTCTCAGGACGGGCTGTCTGTCTGCCCACAGTGTCTCCTTGCCTCCCAGAGCTTGTCTGTCCATCTGTCTATCTCTTAGCATGTATCTCCTGGTGTCTGTCTGTCTTCTGGGATCTGTCTTCCCCCACCTCTCTAGCCAGGAAGTTGACCCGTGCACTCCCCAAAGCCTACCACCCAGGGCAGGGGGGGGACAGGACTGAGGCTGGCGGCCCCTCCCCGCCTGGCTTCCCTTTGACCCCTTACCTGTGCAGTCCCCTAAGCCTGAGGTGCTGGCCCCGGACACATCCTGCTCGAAGGTGGCTCTGGCGGAGGGGGACAGAGGCAGGTCAGCAGTCGCCCTCCACACAGCCCGGGCAGGGCAGGGGCTTGGGCTGTGGGGCAGGTCTGACCCCTGGGCTCCGCCTGTCCCCGGTACCTGGTGCCAGGGCTGAGGAAGACGCAGGAGCCGTCAGGAGTCCACCCACAGTAGGGGTCCTGGCTGCCCACGCAGTTCCTGGAATGGACCACGTCACAGTCACTAGGGTGGCCCCTGGGTGCCAGGCCCTGTCACTGTCACTAGTTC